CTAAGTTGTACTATACAGGGCGAGTCAAAAAAACTAAAACAAAGTCAAAGGTAAAGGAGTGGACCAATGAATATTCATCGCCTGTATATTTTTCAAACGTAGTTTTTAGACTTTTTTTAAATTTTATTGAAAGAAAGCAAAAAATGTTAGAATAAGTTTAGATTTGTTCGAATTGGTCATCTTTGACACGAATTATGGCCTTCAAACGGCCAATGAAACCGTCACAAGCTGCCCGAATGTTGCTCTGCGGTATTTTGGCCCATTCCCGGCGAAACGCTTGTTTGAGGTGATCGACACTTTTGTATTATTTTAGTGCCAACCTTGCTTTCCAACATACTTCAGACACAATAGTCCAGCGGATTGGTATCCGGAAATTTTGGTGGCCATTGTGCGCTGGAAATGAAGCGAGGAATCTAATTTTGTAACCATTCTTGGGTGGCGCGTGTTGAGTGCGATGTTGCGGAGTTCTGTTGGAATGTCCAAGGTCTGCGACCGAAATATATGCGTGCCCAAGGCTTTAATACACCCTCCAGAATATTTTCGCGATAATATTAGCAATTTATTTTGATGTCACGGTCGATTAGTACGAGCGGAGAGCGACCATCGGCTGTTATGGCGGCCCACACCATCACCATGGCCGGCGCTTGAGTTCTGGTGGCCAACCCAAGCTGCACATTTTCAGCTGACCTCTTTCGCAAGTAAACACGATCATTTTGTGTGTTTACAAACTGCTGTAAAACGAATGTTTTCTCATCGGAGAAAACCAAATTCAGCGGTTCACCACTTTCGGCCAAGCGAAGCAACTCTTTACTACTCTTTTGAGTCTATTTTCTTTCTACTGCGGTGTAAGTTCTTGCACTTTTTGGTATTTCAATGGCGTTACCCCTAGCTCATTTGTCAACATTTCTCGAATGGAATATTGCGATATGTTCAGCTCACGAGCCATTTTTCGGTCACTGCGACACGGGTTTCGATCAAGTCGCTTCTTTACTTTTCGAACCATTTCTGCTGATGGGGCTGTTTTCTTCCGTGACGTCGGGCTACGCTGCTAGTATCACGGTAACGAGCGATAATACGAGACACAAAAGATTTATTCACATTTAAATGCTGGTGTGCTCTAACGATAGCCACTTGTGGTTTTCCAGCCAAAAATAAAGAAATCACACTATCACTCTTGAATCCCATCATGATAAATTTGGTTTTGGAAAATTCTCACGAAAATGCTTTTGTAAGCTTGTAAACAATATACTGAGCTGTCACTGGAAAAATTTTAACAGATTTCGGACGAGTGGCTTAGAAATGACAGCAGTCTTAAGTTGTTGACAGTTTTTTCATCTAACCCTCTATTTGGAACAATTTTGTATTGGGTCACTACCGTCGCTGAAATTTGGTACTACCGTCGCTGTTCATGTGTTGTCTGGACATACGGAGGTGGTCTCGGAAATGTGTACTATAATTGTACGAAAAGTAAGAAATGGTACTATATTTGGTATTGGGGGAAGGGATAGGGATATAATTCGAAAATTTGATATTTGGATTGCTGTGGGCATCTGGGAATGAGGTGGTATTGGAAATGTGTACAATAATTGTACGAAAAATAATAATATAGCCTGAAATCCTGAAATTTGGTATGGATGTCACTATTGATGTCTTCTGTGGCTAAGATATGAAGGTGGTATTGGAAATATGTACTATAATTGTTTAAAAAACAATAAGTGATACTAAATTGGGTATTGGGTGAAGCGATAGAATAGGAATCCCGAATTTTTGATGTCGAGGTCTCTGTTGTTATCTGGAATTGGGATATGGAGATGATTTTAAAAAAAGCGTACTATAATTTTTCACAAAGGCATAAATAATACTAAATAGAGCTGTAGTAGAGCTGTTGGCGCCTGTAGTAGGGAGAAGAAGCTACTTTTGGATATGCGTACTGCAATTGTACTAAATGGTACTTTATTTTCTAATAGGGGAAATTACAGAGCTGAAATCCTGAAATTTAATGTTAAGGTCACTGTTGGTAACTGAGGTTGAGATATGAAGAGTTCAATAATTGTTCGAAAAGTACTAAATGCTACTAAACTTGATTAGCTAAATGCATAGAGCTGAAATCCTGCAATTATGTATGAATGTCACTGCTGAAAAGTACTAATTGGTACTAAATTTTTCCGTTGAGTGAATGAATAGAGCTTGAATCCTGAAATTTGATGATGAGGTCACTGCTGCTTTCTAGCATTTTGATATGGTGGTGATACATTTTTATTATGAAAAGACGTTGAAATTGATTTGCCCAGAAAAGTTGGATGTGGGTCCATTGTGCAATGGTACTACTAATATCCGGCTCGGTAAACTTCAAAACGAAGGATTTCGAAGACTTTTTGAAAAGTAAAAAAAACTTGAATATGAATAAAGTGTTGTCGAACTGGTGCAGCTTAAAAGTTAGTTAGGTGTATGAAATTTTGTTTAGAAGTGTTGTCCAAGAGACATTGAACAAATTGTGAATTTTGAGTACTAAAATGAATTGGTGGAACGAATCTAAAATGTTAAGGTCGAATTTTCGCTAACGAAGTAGCGGGCACTTGCTATTGCACTTATAAGTTCACTATAAAATAATGTACAGGGTGAGATGAAAAAAATGCAACCAACTTCAGACTGCCGTCATTTCTAAGCCAATCGCCCGACAGCTGTTAAAAATATTCCAGTGACAGCTCATTATATTGTTTACAAGCGTACCAAAGCATTTTGGTAAGAATTTTCCAGAAAAAAAAGTTATTCGTGAGATTTCTTTATATTTGGCTGGAAAACCACAAGTGGCTCGTTACCGTGATACTGGTAGCGTAGACCGATGTCAAGGAAGCGGAAGAAAACAGCAACATCAGCAGAAATGGTTCGAAAAGGACAAAAGCGACTTGATAGAAACCCGCCATTAAAATTCCAAAAAGTGTAAGAACTTACACCGTAACACAAAGAAAATAGACTCAAAAGAGCTAAAGACTTTCTTCGCTTGACCGAAAGTGGTGAAGTGACGAATTTGGTTTTCTCCGAAGAGAAAACATTCGTTGTCCAGCTGTTTGTAGACAAACAAAATGATCGTGTTTTCTTGCCAATGAAGTCAGCTGAAAATGTGCAACTTCGTTTGGCCACCAGAACTCAAGCGTCGGCCATGGTGATGGTATGGGCCGCCATAACAGCCGATGGTCGCTCTCCGCTCGTATTAATCGAAAAAATGTCGAATATTATAGCGAAAATATTCTGGAGGGTGTATTAAAGACCTCGGCACGCAAACATTTTGGCAGCAGACCTTGGACATTCCAACAGGACTCAACACACGCCACCCAAGAATGGTTACTAAATGAGGTTCCTCGCTTCATTTTTTTTTTCAAATGTCTTGAAGGATCCATTCGTTATAGTTAAAAGGATTTCATATATCCAGAAACGTTACTTCAAATTCCAGTGATGTACAGGGTAGCCCATATTCGACGGACCCATCTGGCAACGCCATAACTTTTGACAGAGATGTCACATCGCTTAATGACACACCACGTTTGAAGCGTCAGTCCAAGCAGATTTTTACCATGAACCAATACACGCCACGCGAGCGTTCTGAAATAGTTGAAATTTACATTCAACAGAAGAAGTCAATTGTGAAAAAAATGTGAGAAGTGCGAAAAAAAAATTTTCGACTGGTAAGGCTCTTTCTAATCCGAAGAGGCCATATAAAAGTCGACCAAGGCGATCGGCCGAAAATATCGCTGCCGTACGAGCCAGTGTTGAGAGGTCCCCAAGAACATCCCAAAAACGCCGTTCTCAGCAGTTGGGCATGGCTCGGTCCACTTTACAACGGATTATTCGCATTGATTTGCATTTGTTTCCGTACAAAATTCAATTGACGCAAAGAATGTTGCCTGCGGACAAGCCTCGTCGAGTGGAATGGGCCCAAAGAGTCATCGAAATGGCCGAAGATGACCAGCAATTTTGTGAACAAAATTATAATGTCCGATGAAGCCCATTTCACATTGAATGGGACCGTAAATAAGCAAAATTTCCATTTTTACGCCACTGAAAATCCTCAGGAGATTTCGGAAGTGCCTCTTCATGACGAAAAAGTCACAGTTTGGTGCGGCGTTAGTGCGAAAACGGTCATTGGGCAGTTTTTCTTCCAAAATGAAAATGGCCATGCTGCTATCATCAATCAGGAGCGTTATCGCGACATGATGACCAATTTTGTCATGCAATTATTCGTCGAAAGCGTATGAGGCAGTTCTGGTTTCAACAAGACGGCGCTCCACCGCATACAAGTCGCATAACAATCGATTTTCTGAAGAATTTGTTTCGAGGCCGTTTGATATCGAAAATTGGTGATTTGGAGTGGCCACCGCGTTCGCCCGATTTGACGCCGCCCGACTTCTTCTTGTGGCGATATTTGAAATCAAAGGTTTACGTTAACAAGCCAAGGACCGTAGAAGAGCTCAAGGACAACATTCGTGAAGAAATAGCCCCTATTCCGGCCGAAATGTTGGCTAAACGATGGAAAATGCAGCAAATACGTCATCAACGCCAGAGGCGGCCATTTGAGAGATATCATATTCAAAAATTGATGTAAACAAATCTACTTGGAACAAATTAAATGATTAAATTGCCAACCGTCAAATTTTTATTTTTTTCTTTGATTTAAAAAAAAAACATGGGTCCGTCGAATATGGGCAACCCTGTAGGAAGCATATTATGTCCTACAGATAGCTTAACATGTCAAATCGGCTGAAATATGTAGACGACAGCTATACCAATTCGATTTTCTTCAATATTCACGGTTTAAAATATATGGACGCCTTATTTGAGCATGCATAGACCAGGTTTTTGAACAGCCGATTGATCGCCTGTATATTTTTCAACCACATACAATGGGATGATATTGATGCGAACTTGCAAATTTATCAATTTTTGCAGCCCTGTATCGAAAACAAATACAATAATACATTATAAATTACCTACCACAAACTTACCTCAGTTTCTTGTTTAGGTTTATCGGATTTTTTCGATTTTTTATTGGAACGTTTTTTGCTGCGTTTTTTATCTTGCACCACCACAGAGTCCTTGCAGAATTTTTCCATCATTTTAATGAAAATATTTGCCGTTTCAACAACGTCACGTAAAAAGGCTCTGAAATGAAATTGTTTGGAAACGAATTAAAAAAAAAAAACATGGCAGAGATAAATGTAACAGAAAAAAACACACACACACACAATACCACTATTAAATACTTAATATTTATAAATTGTTTAAATTCATTATTGCCTTTGTTAGTGTTGTTGGTGTTCGAGTTGCTGTTGTTGTTGTTATTGCAACATTTTATACAAATATGTTATGACAGGCGAATAGTATTTGTTTCATGCCGATAACATGATTTGAATTGAAATTAATTGCAGTCGCCGTGAGTTGAGATTTTTTTTTTTTTGCTTCGCTTCTTTTGTTCTGTTCATTCGTTCGCACGTGTGCGATTTTATGTATTTTGTGAAATTAAAAATGTATTGGTGGCTTATTTTTGTATCGATTCTATTGCTGCTTACTTTGATAAAATATTTAATTCTGTTTTTGTTGTTGCTTTTTTCGTGGAAATCTACAACAAAAAATAGGAGAGATTTTCATGTAAAACATAAATCATGAATGCAATTTAAATGTTTGCCATTTTTGTTGTTGTTGTTGGTGCTGTTGCCACAATCAATGTGTAATGTTCATTATTTGAACATAAAAATGGATTTTTTGCTGCTGCTGTTGTTGTTGTTGTTTTCATTGGATATTAAAACATTTGAAACGTCGATTCTATTTACACAGCATCATTGCTTTTCCATTTGCATCAGCAGAATATTAAAGAGATATAATTCAAATGCAATGGCATTTAAACTGGGGGCGCTATTGCGTGTATGCAGGTCAATTCAATTTCTTGAACATTATGGCCATGGGGAACTTTATAGCACTACTAAGTAACAATTTGGTAGCTGTCTGCACCACTATCAGCATTACAAATAATGACAACCAATTACCCATTACAGGTATCCTAAAATATTCAGAACTATATGCCCACTGAATTACCAGTAAACAAAAAAGTAATGAATTATTAAAAAAAAAAAAAAAAAAAAAAACAAGGAAAAATAATTTATTTTTGTCGTACCATGTAATGAGTAACGGCGGCACAGAGTAAGCACTTCCGACTACAAAACCTAAAGTCGCAAGTTCCAATCCCCTAGCCAAAAACCAAAAAAATAAATTAGTATGCGTGACAGTGGCTGAGGGCATAGTGTGCCCGATTACCAGTCAGAAAATCGCAAGTTCAAACACTTCATCAGACAAACAAAAGATCATTTGTATTTAAATTAAACAAATATCCAAGTCAAACATTCTTAAACGGTCAAACCTTAGAACGGAAATAGAACTGCCTCTTAATGGCAGTTTTGTGAGTAATTACTTCTTATGATAAGCCCATGTTAATATAAGGTGTTAAGATGCTGTCGTGTAAGTTTTAACGATTGCCAAAATTTTCTTAATAAACCTCATTATTTGATAATGAGATTCTTTGCTGGACACATAGTGTATGTGAAAAAAGTTCCTGCGATTGGTCAAAAATCAAACAGCAGTTTTAACCCATACATGGATCTCCCCCATACTAAAGACTCCAATGGACTGTATTTTCAATTAAATGAACCAGATTGATCTACATTAAAAAAAAAAAAAACTTAAAAGGTCTGTAATTTACGGAAAAAAAACTTCATATTTACAAGATTTGTTCGAAAGTTTGATTCAATAGAAGTCTCTTATAGTGGTTTATAATCGTAAAAGAACTGGGAAGGATCTTTAATTCCTAGAAGGCCGGAGAATCGGTGAAGAATTTTCTATTTATTAAGAGCCTGTCGAAATTCTTTTGCCTGGAAGACCAGAAAGAATCTTCTCTCCGTATAAGGCCTTAAGATGATTTCCGTCCTTGGGTGAACTGTAATATGACTTTTATCTAAAAAAAAGATCCCTGGGTATAATACCACTTTGGCCGAATCAATCGATGTATACCGTCTGTATCCATATGGTTGAATATATATTCACCCTCAGTTATTGGTATGGTAAAAATCACAAAAATATAAAAAAATCGGAAGGTACTGTAATATGAGGCATATACGATAATCTGTGCCTTTACATATAAAAAATTGTTCTCAGAGAAGATGGTACCTACAACAAAATTTAAATAAAAAAGTTAATTCTTACATTAAAAATGTGGCTAAAAAATCTAAGCATTAAATATCGGGAGATTTCGTTATTTAGAAGGTGCCCGAACGAAAACATTCACCCGTTTATATAATTTTCTCAGGAAGTAGTACCCATTACGAACTCCAGTTATAAAATTTGAAACGATTTCGTCGAACAATGTGGCTCCATTTCCTTACAATTAGAATATCGAGAGATGCCGTTATATGGGGGCTATAGGAAAATGTTTACGTGTATAGAGAAACTTCTGCCCAGAAGGCGATACTTATTTCAAACTTTAAATACTAACATAGAAAAAAATCCGATGAAAAAGTTGTTAAAATCCCAAAAATACCAAATATTGGATGATACGAGTACTATTATGTCGGGTGTTTTGTACCACAATATGGGTCTATATGGATAGTTCGCTGCAAGGTTGTTTTTGCCTCACTGAACAATTTCGTATAATTTTTCAAAGAAGATCGTAGTTTCTCAACTTTTTTCATTAAGGGTGAATATCAAGTACGAAGTTTTAAAAATCCCCCGTCTATATGGCCCTTTACGAGGTATAACACGTAGCTACATTTGAAATTTCTGGCCCACGTCGTAGAAATGTACTAAGAGTACTAAAAAGTGACCTCATTCAATGAATACATTTTCCACGTCATTTCATCGCCCAATTCCAATATTGTTTCATTTAGTACTTTTTGTACACCTGAAGTGCGAATCCTCAAGGATCAAGTTCTTGTTCATTTTTCTATTTAGAACTTACCCTTAAACATTTTTTTTTTTCAGAAATCCCGGCATACTTCAACCCAGAGCGTGCCTTATGCAATTTTTTTCCTTTGTTTTTAAAAAACCTCGACCCGATAAATAACTATGACTAGGACCTGTGTCTCTAAGCACAAAATTCCCCTTAATCTTACCCCTATCTACACAAAAAGTGAATAATAACCCATATCCGCACCAAATGTGACCCTTATTAAATTAAATCCGTTAAAAATTCTGTTAAAATCTTAAAAATACCGAATGTTGCCGTTATATTAGGGTCTATACGACGACGTGGACCTGCATAGACAACTTTCGTCAGATGCAATTACAAGATTCAAATGCGGATCTTGAAAAAAATCGGTGAATAATGTAGCTAAAATTATCCAAATACAAAATATAGGGAGGTGCCGTTATATGTGGGCTATACAAAGATGTGAACCTGTACGGGCAGTCTTCTGTCATAGGCTGTAGTATCCATTACGAACTTCAAATACCAAATTTGAAATAATTCCGGTAAATAATGTCGTTAAAATCATCAAACTACCGAATATCAGGAGGTACTGTTATATGGGGGCTACACGAAGATATGGACCTGCCCAGACAGTTTTCTGTTCTATACAAAGCCGTGGACCGGCACAGACAATTTTCTGTCGTAGGCTGTAGTATCTATTACAAACTTCAAATACCAAATTTGGAACAATTCCGGTAAATAATGTTGCTAAAATCATCAAAATACCGAATATCGGGAGGTGCCGTTATATATGGACTATACAAAGACGTGAACCTGTACGGGCAGTTTTCTGTCATATCCTGTAGTATCCATTACAAACTTCATATACCAAATTTGAAACAATTCTGGTGAATAATACCGCTAATATCATCAAAATACCAAATATCGGGAGGTGCCGTTACATATGGACTTTACGAAGACGTGGACCTGTACGGACAGTTTTCTGTCACAGGCTGTAATATCCATTACGATCTTCAAATAATGAAAAAAATAATGTCGCTAAACTCATGAAAACATCGAATATAGGGAGGTACCGTTACATGGGGGCTAAACAAAGGCGTGGACCTGCACGGACAGTTTTCTGTCATGGGCTGTAGTATCCATTACGAACTTTAAATTCCAAATTTGAAACAATACCGTTGAATAATGTCGCTTAAATCACCTAAATACCGAAAATAGGAAGGTACCATTGTACAGGGTTGCCCATATTCCACGGACCTTTGGGCCCTTTTGGCCTATTCCAATCGACGAGGCTTGTCCGCAGGCAACATTCTTTGCGTCAATTGAATTTTGTACGGGAACAAATGCAAATCAATGCGAATAATCCGTTGTAAAGTGGACCGAGCCATGCCGAACTGCTGAGAACGGCGTTTTTGGGATGTTCTGGGGGACCTCTCAACACTGGCTCGTACGGCAGCGATATTCTCGGCCGATCGCCTTGGTCGACTTTTATATGGGCTCTTCGGATTAGAAAGAGCCTTACCAGTCGAAAATTTTTCCTATAAACACTTAATGGTGTTCTTAGAAGGCGCACTTCTCACATTTTTTAATGTTTTAAAAGCACGTTGAGTTTTCACAATTGACTTCTTCTGTTGAATGTAAATTTCAACTATTTCAGAGCGTTCGCGTGGCGTGTATTGGTTCATGGTAAAAATCTGCTTGGACTGACGCTTCAAACGCGGTATGTCATTAAGCGATGTGACATCTCTGTCAAAAGTTATGGCGTTGCCAGAGGGGTCCGTCGAATATGGGCAACCCTGTAGGGTACTTCCTGTAAATTATATGAGATATGTTATAATTTCTGCAAAATGTTCAAATGTTCGCAATGTACTAGACACAGTTGGCCGAAGAACTCCGCTCCATCTCATACTATTAAAAAAATTGGGATGTGCAATATTTAAAGAAAATCGAACACTTGTGGACGGAAATATCTATTAGATATATTAAACAGAAACAGAAATATATTAACAGAATAATTGAGATACACGCCCTCGTTAGGGAGGACCCGATAGATTTCATATTCGAACATCTATTTCACATTTTAAAAGAGTTGTAATTATTTCAAATTTTGACCCTTTGTAAGGGAGGTACTTAACGGAGTGGGTCACCTAGAGTGCGAATCCTCAGAGATCAACTTATTTTTCGTTGG